AATTTGTAAAAAATGATGTAAATACCGATAGTTTATATTTACTTTGATCAACTAAAGTAATTAATTTAAAATAAAACAAACTTTTTCTTCAAACTTTGGTCATCAAAACTGTTTCAACTTTAAATGTTCTGTATAAAAGACTTTTTATTTACAAAAACGGATCAACTCAAAATGTGTCACTCTTGTGAAAGGTATTTCTCTTGTGAAAGATATTTCTCTTCGAAAACTTCGATAATGATACTTGGTGACTAATGCTATTGGTGGATGGACTATAAAGTTAAATTAGTTTACTTTTGATGACTGATAGAGTAATCTTTATCTAATTACTATTATTCATAGTAATAACTCCAAAATATCATATCTTATGTAACTTTTGAAGTAAGAAAACGATACAATATTATCACTATATACTAAAAGTATAATAGTTCGTATTATATTGATAGGTATTATCTTCTATATTAAATGGTAATTTTTTCTGATTATTGCGCTGACTATTGCATTTTCAGAAACATTGGTGCGCTTATTGCTATTTCCAATATATAACATTCCTGATATATAAATACGCACGAGCTCACGCACACGTGCACGTTCATGTACACGTCACTTGCTCCGCAAGTTCTTTTTCTCATTTCGAGACGCGTGCCATCGGACGATGTGGAACGTCTACGTTTTTCAATTTCCTAATGGATACGTGCGGTAGCTGTATGTTACTCAGCCGCGATCATTCAGCCGGGCTGATTGAAAATTGCGGGCGCAAAGCGTATCAAGGAATTGATATGTTGACTGAGCCACTTTGTAACATATGTATGCGCTTTTGTAACCACTACTTACATCGTAGCGGGAATTACATGACGGTATAATAGAACGCGTATAATTAGATGTTGCTATACGACATGCACTACTTTTGTGCATTAAATAATCAAATTTTTTAAATATGGAAAACAACTAACTCAAATGGAAAAAAAATATTAGAGATGTGTACAATAAAAGAAGATTGAATTATCATTAATCAGATTTTACATATTTTGTCTGCTAATATTAATTTAACAATAATGAATGTTACGGAATAATTACATTTTGATAGTCTTCTTGTAAATCTATGTAATATATGATATGTGTATATTTCAATTGTACATGTTTGTAAACGGATTGTAATTTTTTATTACATAATACACTACTATGGAGTCTATTTTATTTAAAAAAAATACATCAGCAAAAAGAATCAACTTATCTTTAGATTTGCTTTTGGCTGTCCATAAAACGTCACTTTATTTACATAAAATAAGGTGTTGCAAACGTCACATTATTATACCCTCATGTCATATCTGCGGAGCGAATATACGTGTCAGGCTATACGCAAAGTACACTATAGTAGATGATGCATGATAAAGCGTATAAACGCGAACAAAACGTAAAAGAACCGAGGGAGATGTGAATAGTAGCAAACCTGAGTGATGGATCTAATACTCCGTAGTGTAGTATTTAATAAAAAGTTTATCCTTTTATAGAGGTGTACAATTTTGAAATATACAAATATATTATGTATACACACACAAGAAGACTATCGAAGTGTAATTATTTCATACACAATTATTTCCGTAACATTCTTTGCGCGTATATCAATATTTATTAGCAAAGAAAAAATGTCAAATTATAAAATCAGAATAATAATTCAGTCTTCTACTGTATATTGGTTCAAATATAATCGAATTACTTCTGGGACTCTATCTTATTGTTTGTTTAAATATATTTATTATTAATCGATAGTCTACTAGAAAAAATAATATGCCACGATCATTTCGTGTGTTATAGGCGATAAAGATTGCAGTTGAAACAAATTAATTTAACTACGCTCAATTCATGGTTGAAAAAACCCAGGTTTTTTTTTTTTTTTTTTAAAGATGTCCATTGAGGATTTATTGGGATTTATTTGAATTTTTTAAATAAAATTGATTATTTAATATTTTTTCACGCAATATTCAGAATAATATGAATGTTTTACCCATTCCAAAAAAAAATCCAGGAAATTTTTTTGGGTGGATAAAATAATGCCAACCCTGACTCAACGATTTAACCAATCCCCTGGATTCGCTTTAATAAAAGTAGCTTAGCCACAAATGATGTGCCTTGTAGTAAATAAAATCAGGTGCGCGAGACTTTATGAGACTCCGGAAGAAACCATGCTGTGATGCGAGTATAGTTGCGGTCTGATGACGGTCGGACCGGAGAGCGCGGTTGTAAAGGCGTCCTTTCGAACAGGTTGTCTCCCGCACGATATTATGTCGACACCACTGCATCCGTGTTTATGGCTTACGACTAAATAACACAGCTTGCACCTTCAAGCTGAGTTTGAAGGCGCGCTTGTGGCAAGATCTTCACTCTTTTTCGCGAAATACGACATTGCGATACTTTTCTCTATTCGTAAAGTCGCATGAAGTTCACTGGTTTCGTACTATGTCGCGTCGTAATCGTTTAAAATATTTATGAAACGTTTCATATAATTAATAAATATAATAACAATAAATTATATCAAGAATAATGGAATATAGTTTGGAAATTTGAATTAAAAAATGGTTCGTGTATATTGATAATTGTATATAATTATAATAATTAACTATTATATTATCCTATCTAATTGGTCGAATTCATACAACTCAAAATATAGGTTGTAAACTTTCCGTCGGTACAGGCATACATTTTGTTATTACAAATCAGCATGTTGAATAAATATCAAACTGTCGAGCGGAAAATTTATGATACTACGTGAAACATGTAGATCGATTCGATCCCGCGCTTCGCCTTAACGTACAAAAATTTCTCCCAATGTTATCGCAGCACCGCAACAACGTTCACTGTGTTTGCCCAGCGGTGTTTATCGAATGGAAAAATATGCTCATGGCAATTCCGGTAATGGTGGCGGATGGATTCACGCGCGGTGGTGCACCGTAAAAGCTACTCCATGCGAACGAGCATGCCTGTCGAATGTACGCTTTTTAAAACGCTGTACACATCATCCAACGTTGTTGTATTCCACCGCAACAACATTCGCCAGGTCATTCTTCGTGTATATTCTCTCCAGATTCAGTACGACCGTCGTTTGTGGATCTACAGATGAATACATGTGCAAGCCGTTACCTTTCAACCCTTATTCTGCATTTCTACTGTCCAATGACATGTTTTTTTTTCTTTTTTTTTTATACGAGTATTCGCTCTTTGTCGGACAAAATTTTATTGAAATTACACAATGTGTCATGGTATATGTTATTATATATCTAGAATTGAGTGATACCGTTAATTAGAATATACTCGTACTTTTGAGAAGATCGAATCTTCTTATTATTTTTATTTTGTTTTATTAATATCTTTAATAATATATAAAATATTTTTATATCCACAGAATGTGTACAGATTTTTCTAGAGATGTAAAATTATATCAGTCAATTTCTATTTGATAATTATTACTTACGGTAAAATGATAAATTATTGGTAATTTGGATAAAATTCATTGTTTTATGCATAAATCATGTTTTTTCCTCACATAAAATAAAATAACGTTCTTATATTAGATCTGTTCATCGAGTCTGTTATTACTTATATTAGATCTGTAAGTTACCATTATTTTCATCTCTAGCGGTAATAAAATATCGTAATTTGATGTAGTAAAATATTATTAAGATTTTATATATAGTTTTTAACTTTATAAAAATAATGCAAAATAAAGGACTCTCGATACAACAAATAAAAACAAAGATATAAAGGCAAATGATACTTATTAAGCATGATTAAAACGGTTATCATCTCAATATATTACAAATATCACATTAAAGTTATAAAATAAAATAAAAATTGTAAAATAGATGTGTGATGAGTCGTTGATAAGAGAAACCAGAGTCAAATGTCAAACGATTGGCTGACCGATTGAAAAATTTACTCTAAGTCAAACGTTGTTTATAAGATCGAATGTATATAGTGATTGTGATACATCGTATGTAGGACAAACAAGAAGATTTAAAACTCGGATTTCTGAACACCAAAATCATATACGTTGGAACATGAATACAAAATTAGTAATTACAGACCATCGGTTACAACATGGGCATAAATTTGATTGGAAGAATGTTAAAATCTTGGACGAAGAACCATGTTATAACAAACGTCTGGTCTCAGAGATGCTTAATATTAAAAAACAGAGTAATAGTCTCAACCTCCGGATAGATACGGAAGGTCTTCATAAGTCCTATATTCCGATTATAAACAAAGTTTGACTTTGCATCACCAGGATTTTTCTTTTTTTCTTGTTTGTTCTTCGTCAACAGCTATTCGATACACAGTATAATGCATACTCGACATTTTACATCGCGCGCGTGTAAGAAAAAGTTTCATTTATTTTCATCTCGATTGACGCTTTAAATTTGATTTGACATGGATTTTTTTAATTTCTTGACACAGAGATGAGTTTCTTTTTTTAACAGAGAGGCTTGAGTGATTTGTCTAATATAACAAATTTTCTCGATCTTAACAGATTAACAAGTAAATTTTTCAATCGGTCAGCCAATCGTTTGACATTTGACTTTGGTTTCTCTTATCAACGACTCATCACACATCTATTTTACAATTTTTATTTCATTTTATAACTTTTATAATGTGTTATTTGTAATATATTGAGATGATAACCGCTTTGACCATGCTTAATAATTAAATGTATAACGTTGAGTTTTTTCTGAAGAGAGTCTCAATATAAGACCGAAAACATGTAAAATTATGTTCATGAACATTCGACTAAATTTTTCGTTTATTTCTTTATATTATTGTAACGTGTTTAAATTTTATATGAATACATTAATGTTAAGATAATATTCTTTGTTTCTTAATGTAGACTCTCATTTGCCTTTATATCTTTGTTTTTAACTTTATCGTGGTTTATCTGACTTATCAAAAAATAATTGAATTATTAAAGTATACTCAATAATATTTCATCTAAGAATTCGATGTATTCTTACCGTGCAACAGCATGAAGAGGATGAAAACGCAGATCATTTTGAAAGGTTTGCACCAACCGGTCCCATTGCCGCTATATTGTAAATCCATTCCCAATGCTTTCACAGTCCATCGTTTCCGATACATTTCACGTCAACTGCTTCTTCAAAGCTGCAACAGTCGGCTGAGGGCGACGTGCTTTCCTGGTTGGCAGTAAAAAGGAATTCACTTCGCTCACTGACAGTTGCAACACTTGCCACTTGGCTGTATTATTTCCGTCAGTCATCTGGAGACACGATAGTGTCTCGGCGCTAAGCCAGGCGCAGCGACACTACCGTATACCTCCTTTACGCGAACCGGCGAGTTGTGGCAGACTGAGACGATTAGATCTCGATAATGGCTAAACTGATCAAGTTCTATATACACTCAGTTGATAACGATCGTTCGGATTGTATAATAAAAATACTTTTATTTTTTCTCTACGTGCCTTACTAGCGGAGATATTGCTACGCAAAGTCCGGATCTATGATGAATTTTTACATCAATTTTTGAAAATGTCCTTTTGGAATTTTTGGCGCAAGAGGCAAATGTGGCACTAGCATTGCATGGTTACATAGTTATCGAGCGCTGCGATCTATATGGTCAGTAAATCGGTTTATTAATGGCTATTCAGATTAGGAAATCTGTCACATCGATGGCACAGAAGAACATGTAAGTGAGACTACAATAAATAAATTTCTGCTTCAATTACACAAATTCTCTACTGTAAAACACATTTTCTGCTGTAAGGATACAAATTACTTTCTATATAATTTTACAGCAGAGAATCTGTTTAGGTATTCGCTTTAATTATTTATTTGTCTGGTAATTATCTCAATCAATATTATCTTATGAAATAATTTATTATTTATTTTTCATTTCTTTTATAATTACAACTTTTTTAATGCAATATTCTTTCGTATGCAGATTTATAAAAAGAATTTCAGAAAGTGTAAATCGCTAAACACGCTTCTGGCTCGTGGAATTATTAAAAATATTTCTCTTCAATATCGTATCAAATAAGTTTTACCTCTATTTAATCTTTCTATCCTTTATAATTATAAAAGAATCGATTCTTTGTGCTGTATTTTATTTTCAGATTCATTGAAAGAAAAGGTCTGAAAAGAAAAGGCATGCATTTAAAAGATATATTCCAATCTGTCTGTATACCTTTATACTAGAATATCCTGAAAGTTACGTATCGTCAATGTCGTTATAAAATGCACTATATAATAAAACCAAGTAATTTTATATTCAGTTGATAATACTTCGCACTTTTGTATATTTTTCAAACCAAAAAGTGCTTATAAATTGAACAAAGCTTGCTCTTTTTTAAAGTTTTTGAGAAAATATATTTTATCGATAATGATAAGATAATTGCATCGTGAAATTAGGAGACAAAGTAAAAGTTTTATATTTTACATTTTCTCTTATTTGAATAATTAAATCCATATATACATTTTTTTAAATTTTAAACGATTAGCATGCGAATATAGAAATCAACGCGAGAAAATCATTGTTGCTATATAATCAGGTTAACCATCTCATATTATATACAACGATATACTTGATATTTTCCCGAATTATGCAACGGACTGTCATACGCGAATGTACGCAATTACTCGGGAAAAGTAATTACTTCTGCCGCGATTACGATTTCAAGCACCAAGCACGGGAAAAAGAGAGACCGCGAGTGTGTTTAATCGCGTTGCGCGTGATGTCGTTTCTATTCGCTGTTGAAAAGTATACGTGCTATTTGCTTTTATTTAAACCACGCGAGTAGCGAGAGCAACAATATGTGACCAAATGCGCGATATATGTTACGGGTTCTCCGATAAGTTTACATTAAGTGACGCGCTGCGGAATGCGCGATTGAAAACGAACGTGATATGATTTCAATTGAATTCGCGCATCCATTACCGATCGGGTGTTACTGGCCAGCAAATCATAATCGACAGAACTAATTCGGTATGCACACAACACAGCTAGGGATATTAATTTCACTTGTCATTGGATTTCAATGAATGTGTCCGGATCCGCATGCGAGGATACTGCCATAAACTGATGTTGCTGCAAAGAGCATGAATAGATAGTTTAACCGAAGAGCCATTATTGAACCACATTGTCAAGCTATCGAAGAATTCACGATACGATCGCTTTGCTCTAATATATATAATAATGTTAAATGAAGTTTTGTTTAAATGATACATGTCGGCTATCGCGGATCAGAAGCTGAAAATGAACTCGTAATATTTATTAATCTATTTAATGCTAAAGAATATCAAACTAACATTTTGCTTTCAAACGCATGAGCTTGTAATTATTTATATATTATACGTAAAAGTTACGATGTGATACCTAGATTTTATTATGAAGAACTTACATGAAAAGAATTCTTCTTTTGAAAAATGATCAAATTGTCTGAGAGCACAAAGTATGCTTCGCGGTTATAGCAGAATGGAATTTTAAGAATGGCGATTTATACGTACGAGCAGCATTTCCCACGAAATATTCACGAGATATCGACCATGCTGAAGTCACGTGTTCGCTTTTTTGATGATTCATTGTTTTCGTTTTTTCCGCACTTGGAAAATTCGCGCGTTTATCCAACGAAACGCAGAAAACACTCATGATTAATAAATCGCGATTTAACGATTAGCGTTCCACGCTGCTCAATTTAATTTATACGTTCCCACATCTAATTTTCAAAATCGCTCGACATGCTTTATCATCCGTCACACCATCAAATACATCGGTTCGTTACTGAGAGAAAGAGAGAGAGAGAGAGAGAGAGAGAGAGAGAGAGAGAG